GAGTATCACATGTTCTCATCATAAGCAGACCTTGAACAATTATTATAATACTATAAGAAAAGGATTGGCAGTAGTGGGAAACTGCCAGGGGAGGATGAGGGCAGGATTGGCAGTAGTGGGAATCTGCTGAGGGTAGGGGGACACCTCATCAACAAGGGCACATGCACAATGAACTTTTGTATACCTAACCCTGAATTGTACTCTACATCTTTAAAATAAAAATAATAAAATTTTTTAAAATTCCAAAAGAAAAGTTAAAAATAAATAAATAAAAATCAAGAAACCTGAATGGGTTGGGATCTTCTGCTACTATTGGTTAGTTGTTTGGTTGGTTCACAGGTAAGGACGCAATGACCAAAAGTGATGAAATGACCTCTTCACTGTCATCAAACAACTCACAGAGTAAGGCAGTCAGAACTTAAATTAATGTCTCTCAATTGTTGAAAAACCACAGTGTTTTCACTTATGTATTCATTTTGCATTGTGTAATTAACTTACCCCCAGTAAGTCAGTAGATTATTTTCATTCTCTGCAAATTGTGCAAAAACAGAATGGAAAAGGAATCAGGAGACCTTCTATTAGCAGGATAAAGTCCTGAAGAAACGCAATATAGCATAAATGAAAAACTGTTTTAGAGTCAAGGCAGCCCAGCTCTACCAGATATGTCATTGTGAGCATAGTGTTCTTGGACCACCTCCCCGGCTCTTTATTTCCTAAACTATAAAGCAGGAATAAGACTCTAGCTCCTCCTCCAACACAACGTCTTCTGTGAAGTTAATGATAACATGTAGGAAATCTAGTCCTACACTTGGCACAAGGTCAACTATTGACTTTATTCAAAGATCTGTGTGTGTGTGTGTGTGTGTGTGTGTGTGTGTGTGCGCGCGCGCACGCGCACGCACACGCGTGTATGCATGGTCTTAGGGCGCCAATGCGTGACCTATCTTTTTTATGTGATCTGAGTAGCAAAAATTTTGAGAGGGTAACTTTTTAAAAAATTGATCATATTGTACATGGTGTCATTTTCACTATGTCCTTAACTTGGAATCACAGGTTCCAAATATTTATTTCTACTCTGATGACAGCTTTAACAGTTTGACTTTCTAGCATGCTGCCAAGGAAGCATACCAAAGGAGACGTGTGCTGAGTTGCAGTTTTTGTTTTTGTTGTTGTTTTAATACTTATAAACAGAAACGTATTTGAGTTTAATAATGTAAGTGTTTAATATTACTACAAGCAAAAAACAGGAATATTGACTTTAGGATTGCAGTTATTTTCCTCCTGAAGAAAATGTTTAAGGTGGCAGGATGAGGGTATAAAAATACTCATCGAAAAAGCTCAGAAACCTATCACTGAGTGGTTCTTCAACAGTTAGCAAACAATTGCCTATGATTCCCTTGGATCTTAATCCTCTATCTAAATAGTCTACATTCTAGAAGGACCCAAGGGGAGCATATTTAGTAAAAAAAAAAAGAAAAGAAAAGAAAGAAAGAAAGAAAGAAAGAGAGAAAAAAAAATGGTATGGATTTGGGGAATCCAGGAACTAGTTGAAGTCATAGTTATGCTGAATATTGCTGTGTGATTTGGGGCAATTCATTTAACCACTTTGATCCTAAGTTTTTTTATCCACAAAAGGGAGTTATAACAACCCTGCCTACTCCATGGTGAGGTGTGAGAATTCAATGACACTAAACACATAAAATGCAAACTGCTTTTTAAGCAAAGGGAGATTTAATATTACCACTATAACTACTACATTATAATTATAGAATCACTATTATAATTATTGAAGCTTTAATTCCTTAAACAATGCTTTTTTGTTGTTATTATTTACTTTTATCACTATCTGAGATGAAAATGTTGCTTCCCCATTCCTGAGGGAATAAGGAAACCACAGTAACCCTAACAAAAAGGCTGTAGTCTGAAGTCAAAATTTAGTACCTTAAAGGTAAGTTTACTTCCCTTGAAACTCATAGTGTGGCACTAAACTCTCAAGTTGTTGTGGTGATTTTTTTTTTTTTTGAGGCGTTCCTTAAAAGAAGGTCCACATGGAAGAACCCAAACTAGAATGAATCTCTTACTAGTATCATACGCATGTAAAGTACTTTAGGATTTTCAGGATATTGTTCCTTTGTTCTTCATATCAATCCTGTGTTTCCATCAAGATGGGAACCTGAAGCCCAGAGAAAACTTCATGAAAAATCAACAAATCTGTCAGTATCTACATTATTGTAAAAGGCGATACCTTCAAGTACAGAGAGTTAGTTGATCCCTAAGGATGTGCAATGGTTTCTTTTTTCCCCTAGTAGCCCAGAGTCAGTTGCTCTTTTCACTTTTGTCAACAACATTTCCTTTTTGTTTCTCTCCCTCTAACTATGAAGTGCATCACTGACAGACACAATACACCTCTTCATAAGGAAGGCAAATGAATATGTGCCAGATGGGCCGAGCAGATTACAACATGTTTCCTGCCCCCATGGTGACACAATTCAGCTGGTATGAGAACTTATCTTATTCAAGTAGTTAGTTTCCCCAAGCAGAATTATGAGTCACAGTTCCTGGAGAGAAAGCTGACTTACCAATAGCCTTTGAGGCAGGGGGTGGGGGGTTTCTTGGATAAATTACAGTAGAGATCATTCAGGAAAGCAACATGGCCAGGACTTCTGGGGAGGCACCAGCACTCACTAGCTTCTGGAACTTCTCTGATATTTCAGCAAAAGTAATACAATCACCTTTCCCTCTTTCTTCAAGGTAAGGGAGGATAGGATATAGAACATAATGATTAATTACTGGCATGGACTCAAACAGGTTCCATTATAAAACGGGACAGTTTGGGAGAAAAAGAGAGGATTTGAAGTGACATCTATTCCACCATTTAGCATAAACGTACTGAATGCCTACTATGTGGCAATCACTATTCTGCGTGTTTAGATAACAAACAATATGCATAAGTTCCTGCCCTTAGGTAACCTAAGTGGGGGGGAGGAATAGAGATGGGGGAAAAAGAAAGAAAGGGAGGAAAAAAGGGTGGGAAATGGGAAAGTGAGGGATGGGGGAGTAAAAGGAGGAGATAGAAGGAGGAGGAAGAGGAAAAAAGGAGGAAGAAAGAAAAGAGAGTTAACATAATGTCAGGAAATGATATGATGAATGTTATCAAGAAAACTAAAACAGGATGTAGAGACAGAGAGTGACTGACAGGGCTATTTTAGTTAAGATGGTCAAGGAAGGTCACTGTGAGCAGATAACATTCAAGCATAGAACTACATCAAATAAGAACAAACTGCAATCAAGGATTATATTTAACATATTTAGAAACGAGGACATCAAGGCAGTCGCCAATCAAATAGGACACCCAGCCATGCAGGATAGATGCTGGACTAAACAGCCAGAGAGCTGTGTCTACTGGTACATCCCAGCTGAATATCAGCCCTGGTTATAATATATCCTTTCCTCTATGAAGCCCCAAAGGGCTAACAAGGTTAGAAGTGATCTCCACTTTCAGCTTTGAGCTGTACTCTGTCCTACTTATACCCTTTCTTTAGTGCTATTTTTGGTTTCTAATACAATGCTTTAACTGGCATAGAAAAACTGAAATGCACCCAGAAAAGATTATCAGGATGGTAGGAAGGCTCAAATCTATGCCACATTAAGAATAGTTGAAGGTGTACATTACAGAACATTGGAGTCATGGTTATATGATCAGTGATTTAACATTTCTGAAGGCTTCGCACATAGAAAAAAAATTAAAGCAATGATATTCAAAGAATGGCTCTTGATGTTCAGAAGAATTATGCATGGAAAATTTTTTCAAATGAAGACCTCCACTTTCCCTACATTAAAATTAGAGAACCATTGCATTTGGTTTTTTGTTTTGTTTTGCTTTTTCTTTTTTCAACCAAGCAGTTGATTCAAAGAAATGTATGGACATGACAAAGACACCCATTTCAGTTTTACATACTAAAAACTTTCTAACAGTTTGATTAGTTCAAAAACATTACCGGTTGCAATTCAATGAGTACTAGTCAGAAGTAACAAAGAATGATTTTGGACAGTAACTCAGGGAATGAGAGGAGATCTTTAAAAATGGACTTTAAAATATCAAGTCTCTTCCAGCTCTGATTTCATGTGATTCACGTCCATGACGACTGAGTTTAGTTATTCAAACTCAGTAAAGGCCTTGGCAGGCTCCTTTTAGAACCAATGTCCAAAAAAGAATGAGTCTAAAGATGAGTTCTTTTTTTTTTTTTTTTTTTTTCCTGTATGGAAGCAGTATGAGAACCCTCCCCCCGACCGTTTCTTTTTTTAAGATATCAATGGATCATTACTACTGAGGTCTTCTCCACTTCTCCACCATTCATTCAAGTTTGAGAAAGAGATGGTGCTATTATCATGTCCTATAGGACCTGAGATGAGGGAAAAGTAGCAGTATTCTAGTTGGGTTGGGTGTGAAGATGATGGAAATTCCTGAGTTCATACACATCAGACCCAAGTACACTGTCTCCCATGAAGGTTAGAAACATCAGTGATTCCTCCCATCACAAAAATTCTATGATTCTTCAGATCTATGATTATTTGCTCTCACAGAAGACAATGGAAACACATAACTTTATGTTCATTTAAATTCATTCTCAGAAAGAGTGGACACATTACCCTCTGCATGACATGCATTTTAATAAATTGTCAAGAGTCATTCACTAGCCGGGCTCAGTGGCTCAGCCTGTAGTCCCGCGCCTTTGGGAGGCTGAGGTGAGTGGATTGCCTGAGCCCACGGGTTCGAGACCCGCCTGGGCAGGCAAGACCTCATCTCTACAATAAATCAAAAAATTAGCCAGGCGTGGTAGCGCACACCTGTAGTTCCAGCTACTTGGAAGGCTGAGGCAGAAGGATCACCAGAGCCCAGCAGGTGGAGGCTGCGGTGGCCGGGAGCGGCCACTGCACTCCAGTCTGGGTGACAGAGTGAGATTCCAACTCAAAAAAAAAAAAAAGGGTCATTCACTTACCTGAGGCATCACTTTGGAGAATCCCATAGAAGTAAAGACTCATTACACACCACAGAAGTGCCATCCTGTCAACACAAATGCAACAATAAGAAAGATCACTTATTATTCTCAAATAATAATAACTGTCTGTATGCGTGTAGATTGGGAATTGTCTTAAGAGTTTTATGATATTTGAACTGGTTTGGATATTTAGATTTAATCGTAACAGTCAACCAATAAGGCAGGTTTTGTTTTGGTTGTTTTTAAATCCCCATATTACATGCAGATAAGGAAACTTAGATAAGTTTAAATAACATAACTGAGATCCATTGTCTAGAAAGTGGTAGAACCATAATCAAACTCCAGCTGTCTGGCTCCAGAACTAGCTCTTAATCACTGAACTATAACTGCCTGCTTAAAAAATGTTTATCTGCATTTTTTGAGCAAGATTCACATTTCAGGCAGACAAATTTGACCTTTTTACCCCTCTTTACATGACCTTAATATATTCCTAGTTGGGAATATTTTATGATGCAGGTACTTTTTCTTCTTAGTAATGAATAGAAAGTCTAGAAATCCTGGATTCAGACTTGGCCTAGAATTCACTACACTCTGAATTTATATTAAGGGAAACTATATAAACCTCATTCCCTGCTGCTCTTGCTCTCCTCATCTCACTAGAAGAGACAAATGACGAGGCAGGAGGCCAATTTCTGTGATCTTTAGCCTTCCTATTGATAACCAGTTGAAACTGCCAACTAGCAAGAACCACAACCTTACATTTGGTTGTGTAACGCCAAAGACCTGGAGATTTAACAACTCTATGAAATATTTCTTTTCCTACCACCCTGTATATATCTGGCCAGTGGTAAAACCTCTATAGGGTTAAATACTAAAACCTGGCGGTGACTTAGAAATTTCATGGTCAAAATCTCTGCTTTCTGTTTGAAACATAACAGCCATATTATGGTGCTTGCAGAGTTCTTGGTAACTTGTCCAGACCATATTTCTATCAAGTGACAGAAGTGGGATATATACACACATTGTGCTAACTACAGAGTCTATTATCTCAAATAGCCTATGACACAAGTTTTACAACCACAGATACCCACCAGCTTTAAAAGGCCAAAGAGGTATTTGATAAATAGGATAATCATATAATATCATTTAAAATGGTCCAATTTTAAGAGTGGTGTGTAGAAACAAAAGGTTTAACCTGGTATTGCCCAAGAAACTCAAGCTATGTAGTCGCCCTTAAAAAAAAAAAAAAAAAGTAAATTCCCACCTCCTATGATTTCTTTTGACTGGATTGATTTGCTGTTAAATTCTCCCAAAATCTCTAGCTCATTTCATGTTTCCTTCTTTATCCTGGTTGTACACAAATCATGGGCGGATTTACCATATGTCAAGCTAAGTTTCATCTCAGAGACTAAATATCCTTTTCTTCCTACCATCTTCTTCCAATTCCTATACTATTACCTGAGAGAAATCTTCTCTATCACTCATTCATTTATTCAATAAAACATGTATTGAGCATTTTCTGTTTCCAAGTTACTATGATATAACTACAGGAAAGCAAGATGTAGGGTCTTCTCTTGGAACACTTTTCTGCAGTAGAGATAAATCCCATGCAAACCGCCTCAATGTCATTAACTATGAATAGAACTCACATCTAGAGACACCTAGAAGATCAAAAGAGTTACCAGACAGAAGTTCTAGCACTAGGCAGTGTCTAGCAGAAACTTAAAATGTGTACCCCCCCCAAAAAAAAAAAACCTGCAATACAAAGTAATACATGATAGAAATAGAGAGGAACAGATAAATTTTACTGAAGATTAGCAAAGGAAAGAGATTACTTCAGCCAAGACAATGAAAGAAGACAAAACACCAGAGGTATCTTTGAACTGGTTTGGATATTTAGAACTAGTGCAAAAGTAACATGTGAGCAAAATAACTTCTTGGTGGAGAATAATGCTCAAAGGTAGTGAAATCATGGATCATAGATAGGAAATAGTCTATAAATAACTGAGTTTGGCTCAAGCACAGAGTATTAGAAAAGAACCATCGAAGATTTTGTTGGAAAGCAGATAGTGTTAGGATCAGAATATGGCAAGGCCTTAAATAGCAGGCTAAGGACTTAGGGTTTAATTTAAACAGCAAATAGGGAATCAATGAGGTTTTCTGATTAGTGGAATGATATGATCATCAAGCTGTAGCTTAAGGAGGTCATGCTGCCAGACCCGGATTGAACTGCTGCTAAATTCTTCTTGAAATCATTTTGGCTCCTCACAAATAATTGCTATCCTCCTAGCTTTGTGATATCTACAAACTTGATCAGCATGCAACCTATATCCTCATCCAAGCCATTAATAAAAGTAATTAATAATTCTGCATTAATCCTTGTCAGCAAAGAGCTTCTAGATATTTCACTGCATATTCAGGGCACAGTAATTTCAGCTCCAATACTCAGCTATGCTAAAGCATTCTGACCTCCCAAATTGCTTTTGGCTATTTAAAAAACCCACACACCTCTAGATTTTCCCAATTCGCCTGTTTATAAGTAACTGAATTCCTCAGGCAACACTTAGAAGACATTCTAATTAGTGTGATTGAGGGCCTTAATTGATATTCCCAAGAGTAACTGGATTATGCTAGAGGCAGCAAAGAGTCAGGCCACCAAGCCAAGGCTAATCTAAAGATAACCTGTCTGCATGCACAAAACCAGGGTCAATCCTGCTCTGTGATGAATTAGAATAAAGCAGACTGAGAAGAAAATGTGATTGAGCAGGCTAGTTTTGACAGATTAAAGGGACCAAGGTTAGTGGGAGGCGGTTGGCTGCTCTGAAACCTCTCAGAGAAGACTGGTTCATTTAACATTGTCTTGTATTCAGCCTTAGAGTTTTATTATTGTAAATAGTAAAACACTTTTGTTCTTGTTTCTTAAGGTGAGAGGGTGCTAGTTCAGAGATGGAGAAACTGTCAGAAAGCCAAGGAACCAGCCTATAACACATGGTTTCTCCATAGTTAAATTACAGTTTAGTTTTAGATAATTGTAATGGGGAATAACAGATCCTGCCCTTGATTCAGATGATAGGAACCTATATATCATATATTTTCAGCCTGTTCTGCATTTTCCATTTTATTTATTACATGATCATTCATACTTTCCCTTATGTTTTCATACTTCTCTCATACCTGATTGTTTCCCGGTATATCAATTTGAAACTTCTAGCAAGAAGTTTCAAATATGCACTTAGTTCTTTGTAATCAGCAACAATGTTAATGACAAGTTGTTAACATGTGCTCAGCACCATAACATGTGACCCTGCACAGGAAATTTTTTGTCTGTATTCTCAGACTTGAGAACGTATCAAGAATGTATCTCCTCACAAGTCACTGGATTCTCACCCCTGCAAGCAGGTGAAAGGCAGAAACTAGGTTTGCTACCCCAAGGGATATTTACCTAGAATTACCATTTGCTCAGTCTTTCTTCTGCACAGCAGCATTTCACCAGACCACAGGACTGGATTTCTCCCAGTTTCCTGATTTTATATATAACTCCATACTCAAGACAACAGCCACTCCTTGAAGCCTAGCAGCCTGATTGGAACTTGCACCTTCAGTCTGGTGCGCGTCAGCACTCTTTTCCAGGAGCCTACATTTTGTCCCGGTAAATCCTTACTCTAACTGGATAAACCTCTTGTAACTCTGAAGCAGCTACACTTGCTTCATTCCTGCATGTTTGATAGATGTCTTTGCTATGATGCACTCACTAAAAACTTGGCCATTAACACTAAGATACAAACTTCAGATGGTCATCCCCATGCAGGATCAACTCTGCAGTGAAATTACTTCCTTAGGTCCTGACCCCACCCTGATCCTATGCTGGTCTTTCCTTTGCACTTCCCTAAATTGCTGAAAAAGTTTGAGTAGGTCTTGCTGTCTTTGCCCATCTAAGATATGGCAAACAAGCCTTTGAAGGACAAAAGACAAGCCATCCCCCGTTCTACAGAAAAGGGGATAGCAGTTATTTTATTTATTTATTTATTTTGAGTTGGAGTCTCACTCTGTCGCAAAGACTGGAGTGCAGTGGCCGCTCCCAGCCACCGCAGCCTCGACCTGCTGGACTCCGGTGATCCTTCCGTCTCAGCCTTCCGAGTAGCCGGAATTACAGGCATGCGCTACCACGCCCGGCTGATTTTTTGATTTATTGTAGAGATGAGGTCTCGCTGCCTAGGCGGGTCTCGAACCCGCGGGCTCAGCCAATCCACTCACCTCAGCCTCCCAAAGGCACGGGATTACAGGCTGAGCCACCGAGCCCGGCTGGGATAGCAGTTATTAAGACACCAGGGTTACTTTCACCATCAATTCTGTAAGGAATTTGTAGTGTTCTTTGAACATAAGAGGATTCTTGTGCAGAATATTTTAGAATCTAATATTTATTAGTAAATAAAAATGTTGGCAAAGTGACATGGAAGGCTCTGATTCTGGGTAAAATGAAATAAATATACTCTACCCTGTCTATCCCAATGAATTCAGCTAAAAGACATGAGCATAATATTTGAAGCAACTATTTGAGGACTCTGAAAAGTAAATAATAGCACATTCTTTTCAAGGACACATAAGACATTCACCAAGATGGGCCATATCATGTACCATAAATCAAACCTCACAAATTTAAAAGAAAGTATGGTCTCTAACTATAGAGTTAAACTAGAAGGCAGTAACAGAAAGATTACTCCAAACATGGCACAATTTAAAAATACACTTTTAAATAATCTGTAGGTCAAAGAGAAAGTCACAAGGGAAATCATAAAATCTTTTGAACTGTGCAAAAATAAAAATATAACATACCAGGTGTGTGGGATGTAGCTAACACAGTGCTTGCAGGGTAGTTTGTGGCACTGAAGGCTTATATTTGAAAAGAAGAAAAATCTCAAGTCACTTTAATCTTATCCTTTAAGAAACTTGAAAAAGAGAAGGATAAACCAAACATTGTAAAATGAAAGAAATAACACAGAGTAGAGATTTTAAAAAATTAAAACAGGAAAAAAAGGAAGCCAAAGTTGGTTCTTTGAAAATAACA